CTAGGGCTCGCCGGCCTCGTCGCTGTCCATGTCCGTTGAGGACGGTGGCGACATGGCCGTCAGCCCCGGCCTGAATAGCCTCCGCTGTCTTCTCACGGGTGGAGAAGCAAGTCGAGCACAGCCTTTCACCCTGTGCTGGATCCAACTCAGGCCTCTCCATTCCCACAATCACGAACTCCTTGAAATGCACACCTGGCAACCGATGGCATCCACCTGACACGTGGAGAGTCCTTCTCTTCCCACGCCCAACGATGGCGAGCACATACGTGCCCAGGGGGTAGTTGGGCTCCGCCTCCGGCAGATCAGCGTGCTCTTCTTCCTCGAAGATCTCCGTGGGCGAATCCTCCGCGATGTCCAGGTTCGATGTAGGTGATGTCGGGACATACCCCTCGCTTGCAGCCCTCTCCGAGGTGCTCTTCAGGCTCACCACCTTTGGCGGCGAACCCCAGTGGTCGGGCGCAATGCACTGACCCTCCAGGTTGGCCTCCGAAACCGTCTTGCGGTGGACGTCCTGCAACCACACCGTGAAGTTGTTGACAACGGACCGATCGTCCACCACATCGAGGGTGCCGTGCTGCCTCCGAATCCTGCCCGCCACCTCCTTCTGTGCCGTGTGGACCATCTTGCGTGTGGTGGTGACATAGTCTTCATCCACGGATGGCTTCCAGCGGCCCCATCGTCTCCTGATCTCCTTGTCCACTCCAATGACCGCTGCCCAGCCGATGATCGTCACCCGCTCCGATTGCTCGGACCAGTAGGAGCTCGACTCTGGCCTCAGCAGCGGGAGAAACCTGCCTGCGCCATCCTTGACATTCGACTGGAGCTCCGTCCACATGAATGCCATTGCGTCCGGATACTTCATCATCCGCTTTCGAAAGTTCCCCAAGGTCTCGTCCGGGACCGGCATGAAGAAGTCCTTAGTCAGGTGACGTCCTCCTGGCCATGGTTGTGTAGATTTCCATTCCCACCTGAAGCCACTCCTTGCGGCGCAGCCAACAATTCTTGGAGATGTAAAACTGTATGATTTCGATGTGCTTTCCCGTCCCCGTGGTTTTGCTCCTACCCTAAGTCACCCAAATTAGTAATTTTACTAACCATAAAATTTACGTAAATTTTTGGTTTTACTAAGGCAAATTTACGTAAAAATTTACGTAAATTTAATAGTAAATGCAATTTAGGTTATGAGTAAATCCAATTTAGGTTATTAGTAAATCCAATTTAGGTTATTAGTAAATTTTTTAGGTTATGAGTAAATTTTTGTGAGCATGATTTTGAAGCAGAAAAAGTCTCTATTTATGTGAGTTGGCTTTCTCCAAAGAGGCAGGTTTTCTACAGGACAACATGTACTTGAGGATATTTGCGCTATGGATTTTTGTTTTTGTTGACTGAGCATGCCAGGAGGTGTGGACTTTGCCTTTACTTGAAGGGATTGCATTTACTTGAGCATGTGTACCCTTCTTGACTTGAACAAAACATTTTTACTTGAGGGTGTCTACTTGAGGGAGTAAATTTACTTGAGGATATGTACTTTTCTTCACTTTAGGAAGAAGAGCATTCTCTGATTCTCTGATGGTTTTTGCCAGTGTGAGGGTGCATGTTTTATGTTTTGGCTCTGTGAGAAGAAGAAAAAGAAGAAGAACAAGAGACACCTCAGCAAGAAGGAAACAAGCAGTGAAAGGGCCAGGAAATTGCGCAAAGCTGACAAGATTCTTGGACTGAACTTTAAACAAGTTTGTTTGTTGAAAATTAATTGTTCAAGTTTGTATTAACTGCAGCAAATGAACAAGAGTTATGTCAATGTTGGCTTGAAACCATTGTCAGGAGGCGTGACCGCATCAATGCCATGATGGACTTGATGAGGACGCTGCAAGATGACAGCAGTTCATCTCTGGAATCCTTGGAGTGAAAAAGACACAAGCAGCCTTTGGGGTAGAGTTGAGGGCACGCATTGTGACATGATGTTGAGAAGCTGTTACATGAAGAAGATCTGACTTTACTTGAGAAGCTTTTACATGAGGGTGTGACTTTACCTGTTGAGCTTTTACTTGAGGATGTGATTTCACTTGAGCATGGCAGACATTACTTGAGGATGGTTTTACTTGAGTGTATTTTACTTCAATGGTTGAGACTTTGTGTAAGTATACTTTACATGAGGATGCCATTCAACTTGGAATTGTGCGCTTAGTCTTGTTTAGTTTTGTTGTGAGTTGAAGTGTATTTGAAATATATTTATGAAATTTAGTTCAAAAAACTATAAATTTAAGAGAAAATATTGATGAATTCTTGATGAACTTTTGGTGCACTTTTGATGCACTTCTGATGTACTTTTGATGTACTTTTCAAAAGTGTATACACTTTTGATCAAAAGTGTATACACTTTTGTTAAAAGTGTATACACTTTTGAAAAGTACATCAGAAGTGCATCAAAAGTGCATAAAAATTCATACAATTTTTGACAGATTTTATGAAAAGCCATGATATTCTGCATCATATTGTCAGCAAAAAGATATCTAGCATTCTTGTGGGTTTATCCTTTAGAGAAGGTAATGCTTTTGCACAAAGAGTTGATCAGCGTTGTATGTTGTTCAAATTGAAGTTGTTGAGAGTTTACTGCACAGCTGGCTTATTGGTTGTTGTTTACTTTTGCAGCTAGATTGATCTCAAAGAGCTTTGAAAGGTTTGAAAGATAGGTGCAGTAGCTTGTTGGCATTGGCATGGCAGAGGAAGAGATTCCCATGGGCCAAGTCACTCCTGAGGAGAAGGACGATGGTGTAGTTGAAGAGCCCAGTACACCTGTGAAGCAAAGGCCAGCTTCCAAAGCAAAGACCCCAAAATCCAAGAGCCCAAAAGCAAAGAGCCCTAAAGGGAAGAAGCCCAAAGCAAAAGGAAAGAGCAAGCCAAAGCCAAAGCCAAAGGCAGGCTCTTTGAAAAGGCCTGCTGCCAGTGGAGAAACCGTACAGCCAAAGAAGAAGCCAGCAGCTCATGGCTGGGCAGCAGGGTTGCAGGAGGATCAGGAGGAGGAAAGCGCCAGAAGTTGAAGAGGATGAACCAAGAGAATGTGGAGGAGGAGGAGGAGGAGCAGGACAATGCAGACTTCTTCGAGTGCGATGAGGCCAAGAAGGACAGGTCGAAGGACAACAAGTTCAAGGCCTTGTTGTCTGAGGGCTCTCTGCCAGACTATGTTGCGCAGGCTTGGAAGAAGACCTTGAGCATGAAGAAGGGACGCGCAGAAGAACAGCGCAAGATAGTGAACCAAGTCCTGGACAGGACAAAGGATGGAAAGCTCATGGTGCTTATACCCAAGTTATTTTTCTTGTGCTTGTCTTTCCTGCGTGCTTATACCTGAGTGTGTGTGTGCTTGTGGTTTTATCCAAGTGTCTCTACTTGTGGCTATATGTTTTACAAATTACTTTCTTCAAAAGATGTGTTTTAGATGCAGTTTTGAATATTTGCAAATCAAAACGTAATGAAAAAATAGGAAAACCCTTACTGAAGACCAACCTAAATAAATTTAGGTTGTACCTAAATCAAATTTACATTTACTAACCCATTTACACTTTTTGCCACCTAAATTCATCAATTTACGTAAATCCAATAAAAATGTAAATTTACTAATTTCGGTGACTTAGGGTATGGATCTCTGCTTCGACGCCGACCTGCGGATCGAACTTGATCGACGACGGCGGAACCCCCTCCGAGTCGTGACAACGAAGCGCGCCCCAAAGCTTGATGAGCTTGCGCCAACAGAACACCCTCTTGAAGTTCTGAAGACTAACGTCCATGATCGCCTCCTCAAGTGCCTTCACCATGGCCACAGTCAACCATGCAGCTTTGACCGTCTTCCTTGGCAGCCAGGCGTTGCTGCGCTCTGTTTCTAAAGAAAATGCTGGAGCGCAGATGCCGAGATGCGCTGGCCTTCAGGTACCTCAGCCGACAGTTCGAGAAATGCGACTGCACGAAACAATGGCCCCGGCACGGATCTGCCGCAAGGTTCTTCCATGCGGAGGGATATGTAGGCAATTAAATCGCCTTCATGCCTGAGCCACCTCTCACCGAACACTCCCTCCATGTACTCCTGCAGCTGACTGCCATACCTGATATGCTGGCGCAAGGTCGATGCCCGGCGACCCATCGCATAGCGACTTGCGAAGTACTTGTACCGCTCGGGCTTTCTCTCCACGGTGTCCACCAGTCCAGACACCTCCAAGAGCAGGACCAACTTCTTGATCCACCGGTCACGCTCCTTTTCTTCCACCTGTTGGCGGAGTTCATCACTGGGCCCACTGCCAAGCATCTTGTCAGCCCGGGTTTTCCAGGATACCCGGGGAAGCGCTTTCCTCACCTTAGCCAAGGTGAGCCCAGCATGAGCTTCGCCATAGGGGGTGCCCTCGATCTTGCGGTCGATGTAGGACTGATCCCGGAACAGCAATCGTTGATGCTGAAGGAACGTGTGGTCTTCGATGTCCAGCTTAACCTTCTGGCGTTTAGCCTCCCGAAGCAACCATGCGTGCTCATCGTCTCCCCACTCATCTGCAATGCCGGGGAGAAGTCCAACCACCTCGTCACGCGGCATGGCATCGAAGAAGGCTAAGGTGGATCTTTGCCAACCCATGTCCAACAGCCTTTTCAGGCATACGCTCGGGTCGGTCATGGCAGCTCCTTGGCCCCATGCACCGACTTTGAGCCCCACCACTTCGAGGTTATGACACATTTCGGCGTCCGTTCCTACCGACTCCATATATATTTAATCAGATTGTCATCAAGATTGATATTGTTATATCTGACTAGATTATTTAGATTGAAATTGTTTGTATTAATTGATTATGCTTTTTCTTTGAATGATGGATTGTTACATTAACGCACAGGATCACTTGAGTTATTTACAAGATTGCATGAATCAGTTGCACAAAGTGCATCAATCATAGATTCGAAGGAGCGATAAAATAAAAGCAGCCGTGACGATCTTGGTTCATAAACGTATTTCTAGCAAGTGGTTTTGTGGCAATTCGGGCACCACAAATTGTGTGTGCGCACTCTGTGAATCCGGTTCGTTTGCTGTCCAGCTCAGAAGCTAGAAGGTCGAACTTAAAAGCTCATCCCAAGAAAGACCAGCTTCGTCATGCCGCCGCGGCTCCTCCATCCTGATAGTTTTGCAAAATTGGGGTGGAAGCCTGCCAACTGCGAATGCGACGGGCTAGGCCATGTGAGTCTCGAAAGTGGAATCTGTGTGAAGTCGCTTTTTCGCTTTGATTATACAAACAGAACCTTGCTCAGGCCCCTAGCAATCGGTTCTTTCACAAGAAGCTTGTGTACATGGCTTCCCGAGTAGAAGGACTGCTTAGCACATCTTAGGTTGGAAGCCACATCACTAGTAGGTGGGAGGCCGTTGGAGGCCATCTTTCCTAGAAATGATTTCATTGGAAGTTTCCTTTCATTCTCCGATCTTCGCCGAAATCTTCCAAACTCTCCCGGGCACATGGAGGACTGAATGCTCGTGCGTCGGGTGCTTTCGCGAGACCTTGGACAACTCACGCCCCATCGCACTGACTCGCTTTGACTCGGGCTTGGACACCAGGCTGGGACAAACACAAAGCTGGACACGAGGTTATTACAAAGGACGTACGATGTGCACATGACATGGCTTGCGAATATGTCCAAAAATGACATGCAGCTCTGTTAGAAGTGGGTCAACATTGACAAGCCTCTAACTCTCTCACCAGTTGCCAGTGCATAACAACGATTCAAACGTTCCGGGTTGATTGCATAAACATGCACAGACTGTCAAAATTACTCAATGAAAAAGCACATATCATTCAAGGAAGCTCAGGATGGCCATCCATCTTCGTCATGTTCCTTGCAACCTTTCAACGTGCCTTGCCGAGATCGGCACATGAATAATCCATTTCCCTTCAAATGCGTGGAAATTCCGCATGTCCCAACCTGTGATATGGCGCAATCTTCTTCGTCTTGGTATGTCTTAGTGAATCTTACCACGAACCGACCAATTAACATCAATTAAACCTGGTGACTCCATCTGTTTCAACCAAGTTACAAGGGGAGCAAGGCTTCCTTTGCCAGGCCAAAGCGTGGCGCTTGAGTGGAAGTGCCTGAGTTACTCAGATCACTCAGTTCATCTTGTCATCGGGTTAAAAGACGATTCCCTCCTCAGGCCAAAGAAGCTTGAGGCCTGACATGCAGCTCTGATGAAACCACATCATGTGCGAACACTAGTGACACAAAATGATGCAGCTGTCACCAGTATTTCATCAGTGAATCAGTAGAAGGAACAACAGCACAGCAGAGGATCCAGGCAAGCAATCGCATTGATGCGCTGGAAAAGCAACACCACCTGAGACGAAAGGCACCCATCAGTCTCAATTGGTCGCCTATCAGTCTTATCACTCTCCTTCCTCCATGAACGCCGACGTTCGAGACCTGAGACCGGCCATTTCTCGGCGACAGGAGCAACGCCCAGGTTGACCATGGTCTTGGTTGTTCGCCACATGGTGGACTGGTCAGGTTCCAGGTTTTGACCCATCCCCACGTGACTTCATCCTTTCCAGTGTCGTAGCACCTCTGCAGTCCTTTCTAGATATTTGTATACTGGGCGCACCACTCGGTCCTGCAGCACTGGGCAGGCCTCGCAAAAAGCGCAACTCTAGCGGCTGCATAGACACATTCTGACGTTCAACCCCAGCAACATGGCGACTTCCTCCAGATCACAAACTCAACTTGAAGACTCCTTGTTATCTTGACGGTTTCGTACCAAGTTCTTTCGATATCACTTTGGCACCGCACCCCACATTTCCAACAACTTCACACATTTTTCACATTATGGATCACTATGGTTGTTGTCTTTATGAACAAAAATAACTCAAACCAACACCTCACCTGGCCAGCATGGGTCTTGTTTGCAAGCATGAGAAGGAACAAAGGGAAGTTCTCGAGGAGAAGCTTCTCCTCAGCCTGGCAGGGGCAACACTTCCCAAGGGCTATGGACAGCGTCTCTCTGTTCAACGGCAGGCAAATACATCAGGTAGTATATACATGTATATACATATATAACTTAATTTAACTATATATAGGACCTCATTCTCATAAAAGCGAGGCAACATATGCACAAACGGTTGCCTTTATGTGCATCTACATCCTGGGCATCCTTGATCCACAATACGAGAAACATCGCAGGGTCTTTCGGTCGAGGCAAGGCCGGCTCGGTGGCACTTTCCTACACAGCTCTGTGGGCCCACATCCAGAGCCCGGGACTCGCCTTCAGCTGGTTGGTGCTTTGACACGCATCCTTCACATCTGTGGCAGTCGTGGCCACAGGAGTTTCATCGCTTTGAAGTTTGAACCACACTGAGATTGGCCAAACGGTGAGACTTGGTCGCATCCGACCGTTTTCGTATTGTTTGAGGAACGGTCATCTCACGTCCTTGGCTAGCTTCAAATGTAACCCATTGGAGGATCCCTGTCCTGGAACATCCGCTGCAAAGGGAGGTTGCTAACCTTAGGGACCAATGTGCCAGCAGAATGATGCACAAACAAGAAGCACTGAGAATGATGTACATCAGGGACTTGAAATGGAACTATATACTTGTACATACCTGTACCATCTTACACCGTATTGCCTTCGTGCATTCCTAGCCAGGGCAAATCAACTCCAAACAAGTGATCATTACAATTGCTTAGCCATCGGCCTGTGAAAGAGCACGGTACTTTACCGATGGACTTGACTTGGCGTTGTTTGACTTACAGATGACGGCAGCACCAGAGAGCGACAATGGATAATGAATCTGATATGTCCATCACAATCTACATGCGCCTTCGGGCACTGGGGTCCCGCCACCTCTCCCAGGAAGTCGAAGTCAATCGCAAACCTGACACGAAGTCAACCAGCATGATGACACATCCACGACAAGCTCAGAAAAGACACAATGCATGCATGACAATACCTGTCTTGCATCTCTCTCTCTCTCTCAAACTTGTTCAACATTACTGTACACTGTGCATAATGCAAATAAAACAAAGGCAATAACGAGAACATCCATTCCAAGCAATGTCCTGCAAGTTTCCACTGTGGCTTCCCTTGACGTGAAGTGCACGGACAAACCAACCTGCCTGGTCACCGAGTCAGAATTCCAAAATGCCCTGGCTGGACATCCCCACAGTCGCTTGGTGTCGTTTCAGTTGCAAACCAGCCAAATCACCTTGAATAGCCAAATAGCTGTCTGATCCAAATCATTTTGGTGTCTTTTTAGTTTTCGTCGCCCCAACAACTGCTTCGTCAATACCAGACTGGCCTGGTGGCACGTCGGCTCTTTCGGCTCGTATGGACTCATTCTGACTCGGACGTGGACAAAAAGCGGCCGTTTCAGTCGCTCGCTTCTGGCGGGTCGGAAGGTTTTTCTGATGGCAAATAAAAACATCGAAGAGTCGTACTTGTCAAGAAGAAAAAACATGAAAAAACTGAAAACGTTGGTTCAACGTTGGTTTAGTTTAGTTTGAGCTCAAAACACACACACACACACCCTCACAAGCTGTCTTCCTGCAGAACTCATAACACATGCTCGGCATCGCCGTTTGGAAGTGGGTTCCGAGGCATAGCAAAGGAAAAGCTGGGCAGGCGAGGAGGACGGGGGGAGATGGACCACAAAGCCACAAAGAAGATGCATAATACATGTTTTTTGTGTTTTTTGCTTTTAGGCTAGGGGGGAAGGCCGCTAGTAGAGCACGATAGCTCACGCTTCTTCAAGACTCTTCAAGGAGGCTCCCCCCGCCACCCTAAAGGCGGCGGGGGAAGCTGGTTCCTTAGGGAAACTTACGGAGTGTGTTGGAACAATGTTCAATGTACATGTGTCAATGTACAGTACCAAGACATGCATATTACATGTCGGTTTTGGAGTCTTGGACACACCAGCACGCTCTAACCTGGTTGCTAAATGAGACCAAGGGTGTATGAAAATAGCACTCTCTGACCATCTCTACCAAAAAATGATAAACACATGTCTGCTTGTTGACACACCCATTCTCATTTGTTACAGTAAATCTCGTTCCAGTGTCGACACAAAAGCATCCCTCCCCACAAGTGCATGAAACATGAGGCCACCTTCTGAATTCCAAAGCTGCAGTCTTGCAATAACCTGCAATCAGTGTGGTTTCACAAGTTGAATTGGCAGAAAGGTTCAGGCACTTTTCCAATAACACCGTCTCGGTGCACTCATGATCCTCGTACCTAGTCTATATAGAGTAGTCTTACTACATCTTACTAATTACTATGTTTGGGGCAGGAAGCCTGAGCAAGACCTGAGGCATTCTGAGGCTAAGCAAGGCCTTTAAACCTTAACTTGACCACTGTTCTATTCTTTATCCAATTACGGCTCCCACTAACTGTTCCAGCAACGCTAGTTACGATCTATCTTCATGCTCCGGCATTGCCTCTTCACCTCAGGCTTCTCTTGAAGCTCCAATACCCCCAACAAGTCCTGGCAGCTGGCCAACACAACTTGTTCAAGAAGCAAAGCAAGAGGCTGTTGGACATCACCGGACAAAACATTTCAACACACATCTGAAGTACGCCCCTATGCTTCAATTTCAATTATATACTGTACTTTTGTTTGCTACTGTGCATTCTATTAATTCTACGACATACACAAACGCGTATGTACGGCATATGTGCACAATTTGTTGGGTGCCAAGTTCACGGTGAATCCGCCAGTCCATATCAGTCCTCACTGCGGGATCTGAGCAAAATCTCATTCAACGGTCTGATCACCTGGGCTCCAAATATCTCCAAACCCACTCACTCAGCTGTGCAAGCTGTGCAAGGAGGAGGAAATGGTCTCAGAATCCTGTCTGTCCATTGATTTCTTACAAGTAGTTACAACCTTGCACATTGTATACACATCATAAACCCATGCTGGATTGAAACGTATACGTTTGCATTGCATCAAGAATGGGGTGAGGCACTTGCCTTCGGCCACACACCTCCCGCACCATCGCGACAGGCAACCACCTAAAAGTGAACACACTTCCATCGCGTCTTCAGGGTGATCTTCACTATTTTTCAGCTATCTTCACCTGCTAAGTTTCCACGGGATCTTCTTTGACCCACTTGACCCAAACTCCGCCCCGGTACCCAGGTGTGTCCAAAGTCCAATCTTGATCTGGTTTCACCACCCGCCCATGTAACTAAACAGATTCAGGAAGTGCAATGCATATCCCAACAAAAACGAATGTCCCGGTTTGATCCCGAGCCGAATTCCCTTGGAATCATACATCCTTCAAGGCAAGCCAGGGACACAACAAGCCTTGGCCGCTGTTACCTGTGTCCCTGACGCGCTTGCAAAAGTCCTCGAGACTGTTCGAGACCTGGCAGGTGGCGCAGGTATGTAAAGCTACTCACTGCAAATATATATATATATATATATTAATGATATGTATATACCTCTTCACATTCAGCCTCCACTTCAATTGCCCAGAATTTTATCAGTTATTGATTTCCCACCCATCACACGAATCTGGTATATAGGAAGACTTGCGTTCTGGTATGATTGATTCAGCCCTCTTCTTCGTGGAATCGGTGGCCCATCACCATCGAAAGGCCCATCCGCATCCCTCTGCGCACATCCTCAGGCTCGGGTGCCATCACCTGAACAGCCACCTCACGGGCGGTCGAACGGAGCGAGAAAAACCAGGGCCCCTAGTGCTCCGGAAAAGGAATGGACCCCAAAAACACTGGAGAAAGGGGTTGGCCAAAACGCCGGAACCAAAAAACAGCCAAACACATGAAAACAACACTTTATGACCTTCGGAATAGAACTGCCAGATTTCAGTTACTCGGCTTTCACCATACTTTCGCCGCTTTTGGAGCTTTCCGTTGCTCCGGATCCTCAGAACCCGTGGCAGGTGTTTGGTTCGCTGCGCTGGGCCCATGACATCCACCAAAGCCTTCACGAAGCTCTCCACCTGGGCGTCCAGGGGACTCCGATGGACTCGGGGAATCGGATGGACTCGGTGGATCCGCTTCGCGCCCACCTGGGCGTCCAGGGAGGATCGTTCGTCGTACCAAGTCAGTCTCTCCCTTCGGATGGTTTCTTTCGCCGTTGTGGAGGCCCCAAAAAGGAAAGGGGAGAGCGGAACAACGCCTCACAAGCTCGTCACTTGTCACCCTAGTTGCCACATTGATCCTCTCACCAATCTTCCCACATGAATCGCCATGGCCAAACTTGTGGACCTGAGAAAAGGGTCGAAGTGCGGAGAACGAAAGGAGAACTAGTAACTAGGCTTTTGGGGAATCACACGCTTGTCCAGTCCATTCCTTGAGGAAACCTCAAATTCCCAAGCTTCTGTTACTGTGCTGTTCCTGGTGGATCTTAGGTGAATCTGGGCTGGAGTGATGTTGCGCACTCAAGATCCGCCCCACTATTTCGGTTTCCACTGCTGAGCTTTCGGGCTGTCATGAGGCGCTTGGAACCCCCACCAACCTCACAGGAGTTGACTGACTGAAAATGAAAGCAACCTACACACACCTGGAGTTCCTCGTCTTGGACATGTTGAGTGCTCAAATCCACCGAACACCGAACACCAGTCGCTTCCGGCTTCTTGGAGTGATCATGAGAGATCACTTCGAACACAATGGTCGGTTGACTTTTGAACCAGCAGCTGGGAAGCCGATTGTCAAAAAGACTCTTTGGCCCCGGAAAAGAGCAGATTCAATGTCCTCAGTGCAACAAGGCCAACAGCCAAACACTGCGGTCTCTGTCGCATTGAGGCAGAATTGATCAGAATCAGCCATACCCTTGGATTCATGCTGGGTGCCTGTACTCTTGCGCCATTTTGGTGTCAGAGTGTGGGAGCAAGTTGCGTGATTGTTCTTGTTCTAGCTTTCATGTTCGCTTACTTTCTTCCAGGACACGGCGTACAAAGCACGCATGCAAATGGCTCCTGTGCAATTATATACAATGTGGCGCCAAGCATGTCGCAGCAAACAGCCACGTCGGGTATTAGGCTTGCCGAGGCAAATCGGATTTCAATCGCTTCTGGATTTGAAAGTGAAACAAACGTACTGTAGCCTTTCAGGATTTGCGGTTACACGCTGTTCGTCTGCCATCGCACCAAAGAGAGGAGCCCTTACTAGCCCTGACCCTAAAATACAATTTGACTAACCCTGTTCAGGTTAGCAAAGAACCCTAAAATACCCTGTGACAATGGCAAGTTCTCAAAGTCCAACCATCCATCATCAGCTATCCTCTCTTTACATTGACCGTAAACAAACTCTCACTTTGATTGTTACTAATTGAGAATATGATGATTGGCTCTTTAGCTACCGACCTTTCAACTCGCATCGGTGTCGGAAGCTTCACGGCCATTCCCTCAGCCTCTGCGGCCGTCGCGAGCGGAGCTGGCGCTGTCGCGCAGCGCAATTCCAGATCTGCGGTCGCGTAGACCGCACCGAGATCAAGGGCCATCCCCAAATGAGGTAACTGCGTCAGCGCGCGAGCCGCAAGGTAATGATCAGCCGCACGATGCGCATGGTCCGGCGACAGGCCACTGCCCAAGAGGTATAGGTCAGCTTGGGACCAGCACCTGAAGAGAACAACGAGTGGAAACATCTGGATCTGCAGCATCTCTTTCCTTGAGACATAAGTGGAATACATTTACTATAAACTATAAACAGAAGATGTACAAGTAGTTTGGAGCTTCTTGTCAAAAAACTTGCCGTCTCTTCTTCACAACGCTTCTCGAATGTTCAGTCTTTAGCACATCACGACCCAGGAAAGCTATGAAATCAACCCCATTTCCTGGAACATTCAGGTAATCCGTTTTGCATTTTCGTTGGTGCTGTCGAAATATGCGGGTCTACTTCAACTCCAGTCAACTGAGGGTGCAGTGGTCTTTTGGTTCACGATGGGCAATCAAGAGAAGGCTTGGTGAGAGTACCAGTGACTTTGACAGTAGAAAAAGTATGTGTCGGGCAGCGCTTGAGCTAGTGAGCAAAGTGAAGTGGGGGGAGGCGATACAATCGGGAGAATATACAAGGAGATAGGTGGGATACGATGATACAAGTATAAAAGAACCCCTCAACCAGAGTTGTCGGGAATCAACAGCCCGTGGAGTCACAAGGCACAAGGAAGCTCCCCCCCGCCGCCTTTAGGGCGGGAGGAGCTTCCTTGAAGAATTGTGAGCTATCCTGCGTCCGTGCTAGTAGCATACTAGTAAGGTAGTAGCCACCTAGTTTCTACTAGCTACATTCTGCTACTACTTCCCTCTTCTACCGGCCTACCCCCCCGGGCTCTGAAACCAATAATAATGTGTTTTACCTCCGGTTCTTTCGCTTTTTGGATCAATCGACCTGAAAAGCGCAGTGCAGCCCAGACACCCCGGAAGGCCACGGACAAGACCTCCTCCCATTCCTAAGGCAGAAATGAACACAAAAGAACTTGAGGCTCTAAAAAAGAAGCACAACTGATTTGCTGGTATATGATACTATACTAGTATGAATCATTATGAATCTATATTCTGATTGTATGATATTGTATGAAAATATCTTGGGCACTTGGGCTAGCTGTGTTTGGTGGATCTTGGTGTTGACCTCCTTCTCTTCCCCTCAAACACAGGCAGGTACATGAGAAAGAGAACGTTGATTCAATCCAACCAGCAAACTTCATGGCCCATCACACCCTTCACAAAACTCGACTTCCACGAACACCGCGGAGAACTCAGGCGCCTTCCATGGTATGTTTGCCTCAAAGCGATGGATGCACAACTGCTGGGCACGCTGCTGGCACTTTGGCTGCAGGGCTCCGCCGCTGCCGCCGCGGCGGCTCAGCTGCCGGAAGCTCTGCTCGCAGGTGGCGTCCGACACCGAGAGCTCCTTGGAAGCGACCGTTGTTGGGTGACTGAAGCGACTGGAGACTGCGGTTTTCGTCGGTGTGCATTCTCTTTTCCTATGAATTAGAAGGTACTTGATGGAACATACATCTGACAATCTCTGCTCTTCAAATCGAAGGTCTCTGACCAACAAATTGGTCAGCCCTAAAGGAATAGAGCACGCGAGAGACAAAGAGAGAGAGAGAGGGGTGGGGGGGTGGGAGAGTGGTGTCCTTCTCTGTGTCCTCTTTTCAATTCTTTTCAGATGCCCTCTTCAAGCAGGTCAACGGTCAAACAACTCTTTGCATGCAGGCGGAGGACTTTGCCAGCAAACAGAGTCCAATTTGCATGGCCTAAACAAAGCACGTCTTTTATACAAAACAACTTTTAGCAGCCTTTCAGGGTCTTATGCTTGGTCAATCTTGGCGAGCTATTGCCCAAGGGAAGTTGGAGGTTGCAAAGGTCTGGGATGCATGATGATGCAACAGTTTCACATCACATGTCATGGAGGCCCAGCATTGGATCTACAAAAAGTGACGCAATCGCGGCATACACTGTGCATACAGCGAAATCACTCCAGTGTGAGTGTGAGTGTGAGAGCATCAATCCTCCCTTGGCTCTCCTGCAGCACAATCAGAAAGTGTCGAAATACTGACGTCTTCCTGGCGCGAGATCACCAGAGCGATGGTCACGCGTAGAGTCGAACATTGGTCACAAAATGTCACAAATGTCACCCACAGTCTGCGCACGGTGGGATGGTCTTTTTGCCTCAAATGGAGCTGCATCTTTTGGATCGTTCTTGCCAAGCACAGGTCTCAATTAACCAGAGAACAGAAACGCACACACAAGCTACATTTTTGAGAGGCTAAACGTCCATCTATAATTTGCAAGCTGTTTGGGTCTCTTTCAACTTGTTTTTGTGTTCTTCTTATGCCAGCCTTCTAATGGTTTCTCCGGTCTTTTCTTCAAACGGTCCTGAAGTCTTGTGACAACTGAAAGCTTGGATCTTCCAAGGTCCGAAGAAAAGGCAAGGCATCCAGCAAGGACGGGCTGATCTCGCAGTTTTCCTCCGTGCGCCAGACGCGTCTATTTCTTTCTGGCAATGGCAAACAACACATGTTTGGGTCAGATTCTTGTGACGTATTCGTGCGGTGTCCTTGAACACCTTCAAAAAATGGGAGATGATGCAAGTACGTTGACAATCTGGGGGACATGTGGGACCACGAGTGACTCAGCAGTGACTCACAGCAATTCCAACGACATCTTGAAACTACATCTTCTTCCTAGGTCTAGCTTTAGCGCTTGGAGGAGCCAGTGCTTCACCGAAAAAAGAGCCAGTGGTCTTGATGTCTGAGCCAAGCGTCCATGGAACAGCCCTCCGTCGCAAACAATTGCATGAAACTACATGAACAAGTTCCTAAAATGTGTTGGGTCCCAAGCCATCGATTTGTGCAACACAGGATTCTACAGCCTCCCTTTATTTGTGCTTCACAAGTTCGGGCCGTTGCCCACCAAGGCGCGGCCAAGAACTGCCTCACACATTGCTCACCCGGAGTCTCCCGCTCCATCTCCAAAAGAATTGGCAAAAGGCGCCCATATTCCTTCAGCGATCCGATCATACCAATCATGCAGAATATCTCGCGGATTCGATTGGAATTGGACCCCTTATAATAGCAACTCTCAATTCATGCCCCTCTCAACATCAAAAGGTTGATGCCGGTTGATGCAGGAACCTCAGTGTCAGAAGAGAAACTCAATCATCTCTCATCATCTCTCCTCTATTCCCCCAACTCAGTTTTGAAAGGACCACTCATCTGCTGGGCATCATATTCTTCGGAGCCCTCCAAATCCTCAAGCACCGCCTTGGTGTTCAGCAAGGACCGAACCGTCGAGGTGGTCGCCGAGTTGGTGATGCTGCTCACCGAGCAGGTACTTCCTGGGCTGTTCGTGGTCAGCTCGTGGCTCTGGGCTTTTGGGCTGTTGGGGGGATGGGAATGATGCGCTCAAAAGAACTCCCCAAACCATTGAAAGTAATGACCATTGAGGAAACAACTATAACATACTATAACTATATCAAGGTCGACATGACGGATTTCGTGCAAAATCGAGAGTTGCCACTCCGTTTGCAGGCCAAGCGGGACTACATGGATCCTCACTGCAAGTGTTTGCTTTCCCCATCTCCAGATGGTTTCAGCTTTCTTCCCGCATGTGTTTCAGCAAATGGTCCCTGGCCCCAGCGGATGTTCGATGTTTTTCTTCGATTTTTCTTCCAGGGGGCCAAACTGGGAGAGATCTCCCTTTTCAATCACACACCGTGACACACCCAAATCAATGTTGCTGGCCTTCCGCCTTCGGACCCAAGCGTCGCCGCCGGGGCTGCTTGGACAGAAGGGCCCGGGTGGCGGCTGGGGCCCAGGTTTGGGAGGCGATGCTCCTGGCACAACAGGAAAAAAGGATGAAAAGGTCGAATCTTGGCTGCCTTGCCTCGTCAAGCATATCAAAATATGGAAGCTCCCCAAGCTTTCCCGGATGCTGTTGATGCTTCACGACGAGTCCGTCTTAGCATGGTTCGTTTGGGCTCATAACATCTCATAACATACATGCACTCAAACAC